AACTGGTCAAAGGCAAGTGATTTACAGCTCATGGGGTTCAAATGCAATCTTTTTCGCACCTTTTTTGGTTTTTCCACAGCCGCGCAGGAAATGAGGTCGGTTTGATTATCCATGCACTTGCCCCTACATCATGCAAGAAATCGTTTCCAGAAAGCGCACCACGTCCTGAACGACCCTGGTCCCTGATCAGATCCGCATTAATTTCAATGGTCACTAGTTGCCTATATGATTAGATTACAAAATAAATAATAAGATTGAATAACTGATTACATCGGTCATCTACCGTCAACTGTCATAAAACAGGCGTAATATATATTTCCGTATCACTCGTAACCTCGCATGTGACGATAAGGTCACCTACCAGATGCAATCGATTTCTTTCACTACTGCTGTGCTAACGCTCCATACTTCAGTTTTTACATGTTGGTTGATTTGTGACGTCACCAGAAGGTTTTTCCAGCCCGGTGTTCGATGTATGGGGTAATAAGTACTGCTTCCTATTTCAGAGAGATGCGAAATCTTTTCCTTCAGATCTGGTCAGGGAATGTGACAGTTTTTTTTCTTGAGCGGAACGTCATGTAAAGCGTGGCTTGTCCTTACCCTTAGCCCTCCTTAGAATACAGGGGGAGGGGGGCAAAAAAAAGTCACTTTGCCTCATTGACTTTCGAGGCGCTATAAGTTACACTTTATCAAATTCTGATCGGACATTTTTACTACCATATTGAAGAGCATATTAAGTACTATCACGACACTCCGCCACAGCCTTCTGGACGAGCGCCATCGAGAGATTCTGGCACGCGACCGCGATGTGGTACCTGAGATCAGCGGGGTAGTCGATTTCTCCGCCACCGTAGACCACCCTATTGAACTCCGCCCGAACTAGGTAATTGAGTGGGTTCAGGTCAGGGGACATACTTCAATATTACATCTTCTTCAGGTACGAAACGCCCTTCCATTCGAAGTAGGCGGGAGTTTTTCCAAAACCCTTCGATTCCATGTGGTGGCACCCAAACCTGTAGCAGCACAAGGTCTCCAAGAAGGTACGGGCGACCACATGTAGGGAGGATATTCTTCTCGAGTTACTTGATGTAACCGCCAGCGCTCACCTTCAGTCGGGGTCTACAAAGAAAATATCGGTCTTCCCATTCCAGGTACCCCGGTCCATACCATCAACTCGCGCCTCGGCGACTACGGTGAAGATGATGTCCTAGACCGTAGCGACGTTGACGAGCTGCTCGATGTTGGAGGTCATCCAGATCGAGAGTACTGGTCTCCAGGTAGCTATCCATGGGTGACTCCATACTAGAAGTTTCGCAGCTGTTTGGAGGTGACATGAATTCCAAAGGTCTTCTCCAGTCAGGCTGCGACTGGAGATGACTTCATATTTTGGTGTACATGAAGGTGATGGGCGAGAGCCAGCTCCTGCTTATAGAGGAACATCTTGGGTATCTTCCGCCCTGGTACTCGTATCCACGTCCTCTGTCTGGGCTGCAAAAACTTTGCTGATATGTGACTTGGTCAAAGTGACTTTTTTTTGGCCACCCCTGTATATAGAAGTGCGGACCTATAATCAGGGCGGATGGTGCTTTGGGGGTGTTGTAGGGTTCACATTGTATGAAATGAGAAGTATTTGTTTATGGAAATTATCATTGTTATTCCTATCCAGCATTTACATTGAGTCGGTTTGTACTTACATGGTGAGGTTCATTCTTTTCATTTGGATTCGCTGTCTCCTTGTGCTTCCAACCTGATAAACTCCTTCATCGTCACCTGTTCGTCTGCACACACTACAGCTACAACAGGGGGTCCCCGCGACAGAGGTCGCATTTGGTTTCTGAAGGAAGCGGGACCGTATCCACCTCCAAGAAAAATGTCCTTGCTGCTGCTGATTTTTCTCTGTTGTTTCCTGTTTCGAGCAAGCTACCATCTTTTCTCCCCAGCCACCCAAACACATCGTTGTTGAGCCTGTTTCCATTCTAATCTTCTTCGAAGTTGCTGATTTTTCATGTTTTTTCCTATTTCATGTATACTATATAGTCCCGGCAGCAGAAATCTTGAGTAACAGGAGAGTTTTCGGGGAATTCCGGAGAAATTGGTAGGGTGGTGGGAAGTTGAGGAGTATGCGAGAAATGGGAATCGTAATTTCTTCGTGCTCTTTCTCCGTTCCACATGGGTTTGAGGAATATCAACATCAGAGGAGGGAACTAAGTGGGTGGAGAGGTTGTATCAAGCCACCCTTAGGGTGGTACGGATTCGATCAGAGTCCCCAACTAATGAAGTGCCCTCTTCACCTTGCGAGATGGGTTGCAGTCGACGGTATGTTCCCTTAAAGGCAATGACACGATGAATCCTCCAAGACGAGCAGGACTAATACGCCTGGCAGGACGGAATTCCGCGACCCTGAGCAGGCGCTGCATAATGCCTTTTCCAGGGAAGGTGCCCTTATAAGGGCGCTATCAAGCCACAACTTTACGTCCCAAACGCCCCCTTGCCCGCCCGCCCACAAATGGACGACTGTTCCAGACGCTCTAATTGATTCATTTGCTAAGCAAATTATGAAGCGAAGGCATTGGTATGAAGCGGTCGTGATGCTGCATAGCACCCTCCTCGCTCGCTATGGAGTCGCGAAAGTGAGACAGACTCT